TTGCAACCTTCAACCTATTCCACGCTGCCATGTTATTTACGGGAAAACATTCCACAATGGTTCTACTACAGAAATTACCGATATTTAGAGCTAGACAACGCTTGTTGTGCGGCACCTTGAAAACTTCTTGCAAAATGGAAACACTGTACGCAAGTATCCCATGGTACTTCAAGATTTTTACATCGTCGGAAGAGGTAGTGAACCAAATGCAGCCTTAAAGTCGAGCAAACGAGAACAACTGCAATCGCAGACTCCATAAAGTGAGCCATCTTACAATCCTATAGCAGGGTAAGCTAGGGATTTTGTTTCCACCAGGGCGAATGACTGAAGATGAATATAGCACACACATGATGCAAGAAAAATCTGGCGAGCAATCATTTAAATATCGTTAAGAGGTTGATCAACTGGATAAGCATACAGAATTGCACTATTTTTAACATGCTTAACCATCCGTTTGCTTCGTGACTTTTACAGTATCACGGATAACACGTTTGCGCATTGCTCGTTCGGATATTTCTAGTACATTGCCGAGGTAGGCGACGTATTGCTAGTAAAAATCACCGTTAACGTTCAAGACGTTCGCCCAACTTTGACAGAGCTGCCTGCTGCTTGATTTGCGAAGAAACTCGTCGAAAAAAAGCTGCAAATGCAGATGGCAGCCGTTTATACAAACAAATTACTGCTGAGCCCACTGTCGCCAACAAGTTAAGCTTTCGCAACGAAGTAGTAAATACACCGAAAGTTTCCAAACGAACAATTTTTTCTGCAAGGCCAGATGCGCAGCGAAGCAGAAAGCCCGGCAACCTGTGATGTAAAAGCGACGAGACACGATTAACGGACAAAAGCGAAATGCGTCTTCAGATCTTCGACATTCTTAAGGTAGTATTAAGGAGGACAGAATGGTTGAATTAAGTCGAGGAAAAAACTGAAAAAGCAGAGAGAACCAGAGAGCAGCGGCTGACAGACTGAAACGAACAATCACACCGGCAATGCGCAGCGGTGTTACGGAATTCCAAAAAACCAGATGCAACAGAAGTCTGAAACGAACTTCCGCACCGGTGATGATCGAAGAAAAATTGGCATCGCAAGTTTATGGGACCACGGAGCGGAAATGAGATAATAGCGTTTTAGCCTGTAATGCGCTAAGTATATACAAAACAAATGCAGAGAGTTATTGGCTAGAACGCCCAAAAACAAAATAAGCACACAGTCAACGCTGTTTAGACCTAGCTTAGCAAACTGATCAACATCACCGCCGGAGTCTAGAGGTAAGCAGTCAACCATAAGTCGCTTTGTCACCCGTAAAACAACGCTGCTGCGCTAATGTACCTATATGGCAAGTGGCATTCGCCTCTCATTTTGGAAAAAGACATCCTGTGCACACAAGAAATTACAACGCCAGCAGGTAGGAGAGCGTTCGACGACGAAAAATCACAACTCAACGTGCTGCACAATGGTATCGTTTACTGTTCTTCATTTGAAAAAGGACGCACTAATACACGTACATCAGTGGTCATGCATCAAAAATACCGACACAAAGACGCGAAGCTGTGTCATTTGCCGTTGCAGTTCTTCGCCATCGGATGCAGTACACGAGACGAAAAGCGTGATATAAGCGTAACATTTCAGGTAGAAAAGAAAGAAATGAACAAAGACAAGTTTAAGGCGACGAAGTGCGCTCGAACTATTCGCGCCGGCCACCTAGAACAGAGTAGAGCAGAGCAAAGTAGAGTGACAAGCGCGAATGCTGATTAAGGTCTGCAATGATTCAGTTGGTCCAGTGTGAACAAGCTACGAAACACTGGCTGGCCGGTTTCCGCGGACTACTAAAACACAGACAGGTTAGCAACAGAGTAGCGAACGCGTGAGCAAAAGTCCCTAAGAGTTTAATAAATAAATCGTTAGCAACGAGTAAAATAAAGGCTGTGATACTGAACAACCGAACATACACTGTGACCCAAAAAACATATTGCGACGACGAAGTGTTGAACTTGAATCATCACGGATGTCTGAATAAAAGTTAACGAGAAAGCGAAGCACTTCTGTCTCATTGAACGATCCGTCCGGTTTCACGCATAGCGGGCACACATTGGCAGACGGAAACTGAAGCTTCGGGAAATTTGGGTCTTCGGTAGGCTGTCCTAGAAGAAGAAGCAATTTAGCCGATATGCAACTCCATCTCAAGTATTCAATATTGTGGCAATATGTTACAGCAAGCAGATGCAGCTACCAGCGAGTCAGCTTAGCAGCTCGGTTGGACACTGACCGCACCTAGTAGAACTGAATCCGCATGGGTGTAAGGAAAGTTTACAATAACATAACAAGACATGCTCTCGTCCAGAGGGCAAAGGGCTAAAGCAAAGTTTGACTTCACAGAACTTTACTTTTTGCGGTTTTTCTATATATATTCGTGGCCTGAATGATGCTCACTTGCATACTCATCTGGACCTTCTGGAGTAGAAACGTTTGATCTTATTGTCATTTTCGCGCTAGGAGCATAGCTTAATACTACTATTCAATCAATAAAGCTATAAGCCCTTCTCGTTCCATTCAGTATCATTCCCTATTCAGAGGCAAACTGTAGATGATCAATTTTCGGCCACATCTGCTCTGTTAGTTTTTGTACAGATAGCGACGCCACTGTTTCAGTTTTCCCTGAGTCATACTTTCAGTCCGAGCCCTGTAGTGCAACTTTCTCCAGGCAACGGCATTACTTATGAGATAAAGTACATCGCATTTCGCGCTTCTGCAAGTTTCTGAGGATGACTACATTGAATACGAAAGTTTTCAGGCTAGTTCTTTGGCTATGGGTTAAACGGCAGCAAATAAACTACAGGCGACGTAAATCATAAGAAAATATTGCAAAACCCGGGAAAGAATTGTGACGTGGCGGGGGCATTTCACAGTTAAAAGAAATCGGCATAGAACACCATGAAGCTACGGTCTTATGAGAGCCCGATCAAGCGATACGCGTTGCCATCACATCAACTACTTAGAGAGAAATCGCTATCGTGGAGCACTTACCGCATCACGACTTTTGGAAACAGTATTTTCGGTTCCAGTGATCAATTAAAGCTTATAGCGACGATTTTGAAACGCTCCCAAAGATTTTAACAGCATAATATGCCTAATTACGGTTCCGCAATTTGCTACCTGATAACCACTGGCCCCATTAGGGTACATGATAATATGGTAACTGATGACGGTGACGGATAACTGGTCATAATATTCAACAATTGTTGCTGTTACTGTTACATACCAGGGTTGTAACGAAAATATAGTAATCGTAGTACTTCTGTTCTTTCAACTCATCCGCGCTTTTTTGACTGACCAACCATGTGGAACTAAGAAAAACAGTGCTACTGGAGGGAGAGGACGGGCGAGAAACAAATGGCAAATCGTTCACCTACGTACAACAGGGGCAGCATGGTGTTCTGATGTGGAAATGTCAAAGCGCTTGAGACTTACGCCTATGCTGCCTGAAGCGTGCGCCTTACAGCTGGAATTCTATTTCACCCACCTGATACCTGAGTAAGTCTAAGCGCGCTTAATCCAAGCAAATAAAAAGGTAAATAGGCTTTCCTGTGCAAATTGTTGAAAGAACAAACGAAAAGTCTGAGGTGCAAAATGCGGGCAATCCGACTGGTTTTTCATTTTAGCTAACTATTAACGAACAAATGTCAAGAACGGTCTTGCACGGGTTAGGTCGCAAGCTACGGTTGGGGAAAAACAAACATCACAAACATGTGGGTACCTTTAAGGTGGTAGTTGGCGCGATTGTGTGATCGCCATAGCCACAAAACGACTTCCTCTGATTTGTTGTTCAACGCCAAATCGTGCGCCATCTTCTTCGCTCCTCGAGCAAAGTTATTCGCACATTCCCTGCAGCCGAAGAAGTACTTAACGTAGCCGTAAATCGCTTGCAGCACGTCGTAAGGATGTACATCTGCATCTACAATATGTCAAGCTCGCACAGTGTTTAATAGACCATTAACATGCAAAGCAAACCGGTCTTCATGTGTTGATAGGCGCGTACGGTAATCGTGTGAAACAGCAGCCACAAGCTGCATGGATAACCGCGGTACTTTGGCTCGGAACCGCTACAGGCACGCCACTCTTGCTTTGCCGGCAACGGTTGGTCGAACGCCCTCTAAACAGCGGAACTTGATACTTCAACGAAAAGCAATGTAGAAGCAAGATCACAGTATACCATATCTACCATCAAAGTAGGTTATTGTCAAATAAAAAGCGAACATCACCGTGTTCAAAGATTCGATGGTTACCGACACGAAACATCGGTAACAATTTCAGGTATTATTTATGAAAAACGAAACCTATTCATTTTAAAACCATGACTTGTCGCTAAATGCGATCGCGTGTCACTTTTTATGGTCGGTTTAAAAGACTGACCGAATAAAGTTTACTTTAAAAGTAGCGGCAAAACACAGACCGACGGGATTCCAAGAAGCGGCATTACCGGTGCTTATTTACTAATTTTACACGCCTCGTCACGTCTGAGAAATGAAAGATACCTTAATTGAAACCGGTTTAAAATAGCTTCAGCAGCGACATAGAAGAAAAAGCGTAATGATACAATTTTACACGAAACGCCAATTTCTTCCGAGTGCACGGTAAGCAAAATGAAAACGACAGAAATGATCCACAGCTGGCAAGAAAGCATTTCGAACGAACATTCTTGATCGACAGTTGGGTGATAAATGGCTAGCATCAATTTAGGTACGGTCATTTGGGAGGTTTGACTTGATTGGCAGAACGCTATTGTTCACGGTTTAAGACGGATTACTTTGCCTTTATGAAAAAAAATAGCTGCAAAACTTGCAACAGCTTGAATTTGGTCTATCGTGTCGGATACGCTGAGTGCGATAAAACGTACATCAGAAACACCTACCAGAAATCGAAAGTCGGGAATAAGGAGCTTATATCCGCAGTTTGCCTGCGACAAGCTGGTTACAACGCTACTGTAAAACGCACTATTTCTGAAAGGCACTCCTTTAGACTGACCTTGTAATCGATAAGGACCAGTCAAGGATTGACCCATTAATAAAGGAGTTCCTATGTATTTTGGCAATTTTGCATGTGCGACGAATATATTGAAATAATTGAAAGCCGGGGTGCTATAACCACTTTGGTAAGCAGATTTAGATCGGCATAATGAGTGATTGAGACTAGACCTTAAAATTTAAAGTTATGAATAAGATGGTTATGATCTCACGGCAACTGGCTATCTGCCACTCGCCATAAACTTATGCATTTTTTGGTATGCAGGACGGCTTGCTGCCAGCCATACCAGTTGAGCTCTGACGCTGGTACGGCGTGCAGAGCGAAACGCGCTGGCAGTAAAGCGTCGACATTTGCGTTGTTCGGTGCCCTGAAGTATGGTTGAACCCTTCCTCACGTTTTCCATCACTAGTAGCCATGGCCCCAAGGTATGTGAACCAAGGCCCCAAGTATTTTTCTTGTACAGTGTCCCCTGGAAACGGATTGGGCTCGATGCGAAGCGTCGGTATTATGCTAAATAAAGCTTATGCGCGGAACGAATCCTTTGAAGGCCTAATCGATTACGAACTTTTCAGCCGTTTAAAGAAGTGATGTAATCTCTAATAGTGATTATGGCGATAAAGTAGTCTAGGCAGAAGTCAAAAGTCTGATTCATGCATCTATGAAGACAAACTACGGTAAGTCGAATTCACTGACAATTCGAGATGCTTCTCACAGTTCTTCTTCACGGATTTCGTTTACGTACTACGAATTCACCATAACACGTCCACGAGGAAGACTTTCAAACGCCAAGCTTCTTTCTCTAATTTGCTTGCAGTGAAAACTTTTTACTCGCTGCTTTTTTCGTTTTAAATCCGTGGAAAATTATGACTGCTGAAGAGCCGTCAGCAAAATCAGCGAGGTTCAACAAGTTGAGTCGAGCGGAAGTTTTACAGTCCGAATGCTATTACCTTTGGAGCTACCGTCAATAAAGTATGCGACACTTTCAGTCAGGTCACGCGCCACTAATCTGACAGCGTACAGTTCAAGCTCTACCAGAGCGGATTCTTCTTAGAAAGACAGGTGTCCACCTGCATGTGATTATACGCTGTCGATGAACCGCAAACCACCTGTGACAATTCGTCGAGAACCTGGTATCATAGGTCTATCATGCAGCTATGTCCGTGTCATTCGATAGACTTTCTGCGAGCTGGTGTAGAGATTCGTCAACAGGAAGTGGTTCGGTGCCCCATGGCAAACCATCTATAATTTCTATCAAACAGTGGGAAATGCTATACATCATTTATATTGAGTTCAGACAAATTGGCAGGACACTTTCTTTTCCCATGAAAAAATAACACCCTTCAAATGACCAGATCAAGCGCAAAAAACCTAAAACCTTGCGCGTCTGCGAACATATGCGATCGATGACCAGTTGCTACAGGCCATCCTATCACTATATGCTGATAGCAGGTGCTGCGTAAGAGTAAATGGCGTCAAGTCGAAATCTTTCAGCGTCGGCACTGGTCTGCACCAAGGCTGCGTTCTTCCCCTCTGATGTCTGTTTCACATGGATAGGCGGGGCCAGGGCGATGAGTGTGTCAGCGTAAGAGATGTCGAGACGAGAAATTGTTTTTTGCAGACGACCTTGTCTGTAGGGGTCTTCTGAAACTGATGTACAGCGCTATCTGGAAAGGTTAGCAGCCGAGTGAGAAGTAGACGGCATGCGTGTGAACGCATCTAAAACGGAAAGTCTAGTGCTTTCTCGTTCTCCTGCTCGATGCTCTCTTCAGATTAACGGAGAGGCAGTGGAGTAAGTGGAAAAGTTCAAGTACATCGAAGTGGTATTTACTAGTGATAGAAAATTGGAGGAAGAGATCGACCGGCGAACTGGAGTAGTCAGTGGTGTTCTGTGTGAACTAGTCCGAACTGTTGTAACTAAAGCAGAGCTGTGTCTGAAGACTAAGCTCGTGGTGTTCAAGTCAATCTTCATTTCCATGCTTACCTATGGTCATGAGTCGTGGACCATAACTGATAAAGTTCGATCCCGGGTACAAGCGGCTGAAATTGGCAGTCTGAGATGAATCGCTGAACTGACGCGTTTCGATAAGGCCCACAGCCAAGACAGCTGAAAGAGCCTAGGTGTTCAGTAGCAGATTCTAAAGACTGAGAAGTCACAGATGCAAGAATTTGGGAATGTCTTGGCAATGCTTCCAGAAAGGAGGGCGAAACAGCTATCACTTTCACGAACGACTGGCCGAAAAGCCCGGGGACGACAAAGAACGACCCGGGGCAAGCGTCTCGACTCACTGTACTACAGACTTGGGTTGTCTTCTGCTGAAGCCGAAATGGTGGCATACGATCGGGAAACTTTGGAAACACTGTCTGACGCGAGTACG